AAAAAAAAAAAAAAAAAAAAAAGAGAGTTTCAGGCTACTGCTCACATCACAGTAACAGGTAAAGACCCATCATGTAATGTTTAGCCACACATTAAACTTTGCATGCTGTGGGTGGATCTGATGATTTCTGTTAAAATAGTACAAAGTCTGCTTGTGTGTGTGGGGAGGGCTTCTGCTTAAAGGTGAYTGATGTTAGAGAGACCTGGGCCTCTTTGCATGTACACTGATGGCAGCATGAGATCCAGCACTTAGTGCCACCTTCTTTTCCTGGGAAGGAGGCATTGGAATCATAGGCAACTGAGGAATTTCACATATGAACAAAGCATACAGGTAAAAGGAAAATAAAAGTGACAGGTTAAGGTTTATGCTACCRTTGACAACAGTAGACCAGGGACAATCAGGAAATATGGGATACAAGGCTTTGAGAATCGTGATAAGAAATTGTGGTGAGGCTGGAGGGGACACATGGTTTACCCACTCRAGCTGAAATTCCAAAGCATAATTCTGATGTTTCATACCAAGACAAGTATATTGGCCCTGTGTATTAACCATGGCAGGCAGAACCATTTGCCTTTCCCCCTCTGTAGGCATATTTTGTTTGAGGCCAGTKTACCATGAGAGACAGGAAGTTGAGAACAAAAGATAATTCTTTCTATTTTCCTAACCAAAAAACTTAAGTGTTTGCATTTATTTGGCAAGGGAAAKGAATTTTTCATTTCCCTTGCGTTTCCCTGGACAGCCTATGGTTACACAGAATGTTGACTCAAACAGCTCTGCTTTCTCCTGCAGGAGCTGAGCTAACAGCCTGCAAAGCCAGGAGAGCACTGATCAGCTACTGAAGGATGGAGAGGCCCAAAATTATTTGCTCAGTGCATGAGGCAATGGACCCGAGCAGGCAGAGAGAAGTGAGGGTCAGGGGATGTCACAGCAGAGAAGGCTCCCACAGTACTTACATCATACTTCTCACTTGCCCAGTCCAGCCAGTGCTCTCTCTTAGGAAACTCCTTGCTGCGATGCCGAAACCTGTTTTTGATGGCAAACTGAGAAGAGACAGAATTATGTTTAATGTCAYTTAAATATTTAAAATGCAATTAACTGTTTTGTCATTAGAGATGATGCTCCTGGCTTGTGTTTAGAGGGTGCTAAAGGTGACTTGATTTCTGTTAATTACTCCAGTCACCATGGAGAAAACTGTTTTTAAGGCCTCACACTACATATCCAGCAGAGCGTGCACTTGGGATTAGGTGGACCAAACAGCTCAGACAATCTCTGTCAATGTGGGTTGCTGTTAGAARCTGGAAGATCTGCCTTCCTCAGACTTATTTATGTACAACAATAAATAGAGCAGAATCATATGCACAGGTTTTCACAGCTGAATGGCTGCAAGAGTGCATTTTACTATGAGAAGCTGCATCTTACAGGTGTCTCTCACASCTTGTCAATGAAAATACATTAATATAGTCCCAAAGAACTCCCAAGATTTTCTGCATGGGATAGCATGCAAGGCCAAGCTGGACCTTAGGAGAAGCACTCTAAGTCATGGCCAAAGTCACCTACAGAGATGTGGCTTTGACAGAGCTTACAAGATGGGCAATAGGCTGGGCTGTGTAAAGCTGGAAGGTCTGTATGGAGAAGGAAGAAGCTCATACATGAATAAATCTCATGATCTCAAAGCTGAGGCACTGCAAAGTTGGGACATGCGGTGCTATTCATACAGATTCCACTCCTTTCCTTGCTGGATCACACTGATGTGTGTAAACCCCCAGACTTCCTTAACACACCAGGGATCAATAAACCTCTGCATTGTAAAYATTATTCTTTTAATAAGTAATAATTTTTTGCTGATAAGCTCTACTAGTAGCTCGGCTCTTGACAAAGCCAAGGTSTGTCTCTTTCTACAGGGCTACATGAAGGCACTCAAATATGTAAGGAATGATTCCCAGAAGCTGGCATAAGCTTTTACATAATACTGACACCATATTTTGCTTCCTTTGCATATAAATTCCCATATAAACCAAGATACACACTAAAACACAGCCTAAATCTGGAGGTGTCAGTAAGAAGCCTTCGCCTTCTGTAATAAAGTAAAAAACTTCAGAAACCCTCCTCAAATTAAGACAGATTTCTGATTTTGGCACATTTACAGAGAAGCTCTAAGAATTGCTGCCAGGGATTTGGGGAATGTAAGCAGTACTTACTCCAACGCATTTGCAAACTTGAAGCAATACATTTCCTTGCGGTTTAACTTTCTTGTACATTTTGCTTCCGATTATGAACACAACTACAATATGGATACAGAAAACAAAAGCAACTCAGGATTAAATTAAAATAGTGGCAAATAATTTGGTATGGAAATTGTAAGCCAAGGAGTTAATCAGGGGATGGGAATAAGCCTCCTAAGAAGCAATGAAATTGCCTATTCACATGCTATCATACAGTAAGATAAATCAAATTAATACCAGCAGATTGCTTCTATTTTAGACAAATAACTTGAGAAGTATTGACAYACAAGTATGGGATTTCTCCAGTTCAGGACAATTACCTCATAGAGTATTACCTCATACAATTATCTGGACTAGAGATAATGTCCAAAGCACACATTTTCTGAGAGCTCTCTCCATGTGTTCAAAAGATCTATTTGTACACCCCCGTAATCCAAGAAACATAGGCAATAATTTACATAATATAAGAACTCAAAGACACATTCATGCCTCACCCCAACCCCATCAGACTCTCCTGTAAATTAGTCTCTTCTGTAAAAGTGAGTACTTCAGATTAATCCCACCCACCTCTCCAACTAAGAAAAAAATTTAAGTCAAAAATTGCAGAAATTATCAGATATTGTTAGAGGTCAATACCTGGAGATCTCTATCACACTTTCATTATTCTGAGATGATTGTAACAATCTAATTACCGAGGCAACAAGATGGCAACAGATTCACCTACCCAAGGCAACAGCCATGAGGATAGCAGGAACGCCAAAAGCTAGTGGGTAACATCGCTGTTTTGCATGAATGCCACACTCCGAAGCTGAAATAAAAAGTAACATSAAATCAAAGTCCCAGTCAGCACTTCTGATGTTTTACGTATGGTTTCTCTTCTTTGCATTCACTGTTAACTCATGGGGGAACAACGATCCTGTCTGCTGACATCCTCAGAGTGGAGGATCAGTATCCAACTTACCTTTCATTATTGAAAAGGGGAATTATGTATCACAGAACAGTTGAGGTCGGAAGGGACCTCTGGGTGTTATCTGGTCCAAGTGCCCTGCTCARCTAGGGCTACCTGGAACACTTTGTCTAGGACTRTGTCCAGACAGCTTTTGAGTATCTCCAAGGATGGAGACTYCACAACYTCTCTGGGCAGCCCTGTRSCAATTCTGGGTCACYCTCACAGTGAAAAAGTGTTTCCTAACATTCAGAGGGAACCTCCTGTGTTTCAATTTGTGCCCATTGACTCTTGACCTGACACTGGGTGCCACTGAGGAAAGCCTGGCTCCATACTCTTCATTCTTTCCCATCAGGTATTTATGTACTTCAATGAAATCCCTCTTAGCTTTCTCTTCTCCAGGCCAAAGAGTCTAATGCCTTTCAGGACCTCCTTACAGGAAATTTACAGCTAGTTTTATTCTGAGACATGAAGAATTATACTAGAAGGCTCAAAAGAATGTCATTAGTGACAAAGGAATTMGATTTCAAAAGTTATGGGATAAGTTCATAAGCAAAGATGCTAATGATGTAAGGGTAGCTTGTTGAAAAAAAGTCCCAATTACCAGCCCCCTCCCCTCTTTGGCATTAGTCACAGATTTTACTCTACAGACTTCAAGCACACATCCTAAAGTGAATGCAAATCTCAGACTATGAACATAGCTACTAGCAGTATAAAATTAAAGATTAAACAAAATGATTACATTCTTCACCATATTTCTTCTAAGAGGGGAATTAGACAGTATGATTTGGAAAAAAARGTGTTAGCTTGCAGATAAGTAATGTCTCTATTTAGTTGTATTAGTCTTCTTGTTAAACCTTTACAGGGCATAACAGTTTATCACTTCTCTCTGTTCAGTTTGTCATTTTTTTCCAAGGTAACTTTCACCCTCTATCAGCAAGGAAGTAAACTACATGCTGTGCTTTATGCATCTCTACTTCCTTTTTTTGGGGAAAGAATAGAATTTACATTAAGCAAACATCTTAAACTTTTCTACATAGTCTTTTTCAGTCAAGAAATCCAAAGGCCAGGACTTCAGCCCAATGTTTTTGAGTAATTCCAGAATTCACATGCTGTTTCCTTTCTTTTGAGAAGAACAGCCTTCCTGAAACTGCTGGCATGTGCATCCATACAGCACTATCTGCAAAAGCTTGCCACAGATATTCATATGCATATAGATTAGCAAATTGCTTGGTTTTGTTTAGGATCATGCTGTTCTTTACAAGCAAAAGAGAACATAACTTTCATGTTTAACAATATGAAAAATTATTTACTTTGTCATGTGGATAAATGCGTTTCTACATGCATAGATACCTCTGTATCTATGGGCACCCTTCAGAACAGTCTGTACTTCCAGAAGAGAAGGCTCTCTCTCCCTTTCTCAAGAAGCAATACAACTCTTTCCAGTGTGATAGTTTCAAAGGTTTTGGAAGGAGTGACATATTTGTACGTTTGTGTAATTAAAACATGCATTAGCCATTTAAGTGGTTACCTCCAGCATGTCTCCTCAGATGTAGTACTTGTGATCTTAAAGACAATTCAGGTTTCAACTAGTTTGTGTTTGAGAGTACCTCATCTCTGAGAAGCTGGGTGACACACTGAAGACTATTTGCTCGATAACCCCAGTGTGTCAGAGAACAGAACGCTAATTTAAACCTAACTGGACAGCAATCCAGCACCCCTTTTCTGATGTTTAACGATTATAAACAAACAAGTGACCTTACCTCTGAGATTTGGGGTGATTATAGTAGATAGGAAACTTCCAGAATTAATGGCCACATAAAAGAGAGAGAAGAAGGTACTTCTCTGCTCTTCCTACAGTAAAAAGAGAAAGATGTTTAGAAAGGCTTAGCCGGAACCACATTGATGAGCCTAGATCAGAAAATCAGCAACTCTGTTTTCCAAGTTCAAGACAARTAATTAACTAGCTGCGCCTTCAGCTCCCCAGGAAAACACTGCAGTAATGCACCTGTCTAAATATGTATATTATTAGAGTACTTTAACAGTTAAACATAAGTTAGAGTAGCAGTTTGGCYGAAAATCTGAAAGACATTGTTACCTGATCATCTTCAAACTGATCTCCACCAAATGCTGACACACAAGGTTTGATCCCACCAGTACCAATGGCAATAAGGACCAAGCCAACCATGGACAGAGCACTGGAACAAGAGAAAATAGAAAAAAAATCCTTTTGTGCTCATTCTTAAAGTATACATAAAAGACTAGTTGAAAGACAGCTAAAATTCAAGTAGCATAAATTTAAGTTTCCCTTCCTTCACCAGCCTGAGAAAAAAAAAAAAATATGTACAAGGCAACTCACATGTGCAGTGCTGAATTATCAGGAAGGCCATCCCGGTTGTGATCCGTCAGCTCACTTACRGAGCCCACAGACAAGATTGCCTGCCCAGCTGTATAGACTATGGACAGGTAGAGAATGGTCCTGTTGTCAAGAAAGGAGATGCATTTCCTTAGACATGTCAACACAATTACACACAYAAAATGCACACAGGTAATTACACAGGTAATGAAGACTTTTGCTTTTTTTAAAGATTCATGGTAATGAAAACAATTAAYAGATACAGTAAGTTATGGGCTGAACTTCTCAGAAGCTACTATAAAAATCTGCCCACACGYCACTGCCAAAATATTTCTATTATTTTTGTTATAATTTGCAATGTCTACAAAGTTTCACCTTGATRAAACAAGTAAAAGCCAAAATAAATTTTAAAAATAAACCACACCATCAAAACAAGCAAKCACACGGTATGTTGAGGCTGCAATCTGCAAGACATCCAGTGAGTTGCAGCGAGTTTGCACTGCTCAGAGCTGCTGCACAGAGCCTACAAGGCCATGGCCACAGCCCTGGGCTCCCAGGRGCCATCAGTGCAGGGGAAGACAGTGCAGCTGACTGCACAACACATCTCTAATCTCTGGGAGACCTTTGGCAAGCCCGCTTACATTCATGGCTCATAACCCCCCATAAAATCTTTATTGTGCTTTTTTTCAGGCAAAGTAAACACTATTAGAATCAAAACATGAATAAAGGAGAGTGAGATAAAGCTGTTGGAAATAATCTGGTTACATTTCAAAGCACTTCAGTGGCACTTTCCTAACTAGCCTGGAGCTAAAAACATAGAAGACCTCACTTAAAGAAAGAATTGCTACTCAGTAAGATCTCTCACTCATCTGTCAATTCTGAAATCACACAGTATTTTAAAACTTATTCTAAGGCCCAGTTAACACCAGATAAAGCAGTARTTCACTATTTCATTAGCCACCTGCAGCAGGCAAAGAGACTCTCCTATGTAATTATAACCTCTGGTATGTATTTTCAGAGCTTGGTAATACACTCCTTAGTTTATCTTACATTTTGTCTAGGTGAGAGGAAAAACATGCAGCATGCTGGGGAAGCATGCTGCTACCCTCAACCAGCTAGCAGAACGGAAACATTTGTTAATTCACAGTGCAGTTTCAAGTCTGAGATGAATCAATTAAAACCTCAAGCTTTGGTGAAATAAAATAAACAATCCTGGAGTAGCCAACACCAGTTCTGAAGCTGCTGTTTACCAGAGCTGATGGCTTAAGTTAACACTGACTTCAGGTGAGCTTTCAAGATCTTTGGTTGCCTTCTGAGGAAACACTYACTTAAATTTTCCCAGCCAGGAGTCCGCAATGATTGCCCCAAGGAGTGGAGTCAAGTAACACAAAGCAGCAAAGGAGTGGTAGACGACAGTGGCAACATTTTCATCCCAGCGTAGGAAATATATTAAATACAAAGTGAGCACAGCTGCAGGGAGAACAACAAAACAACAGGTTACAAACTCAAGTTAAGCCTGGGTAATGGTCACGAGGAGRCAAGGGACGTACCTTTCATGCCATAGTAGGAGAACCGCTCGCAGAACTCATTGATGATGATGAAGAAGACGCTCACAGGGAAGGCAGAGCATCTGGAGGCAAGTGACTGGAGGCAAGAGACAAGGTGAGCTCAGAGCCCTGCAACCCAGACTAACCCCCTTCACTGCAACCCACAGCTTAAGCAAGCTCAGCATGGATTCAGTGGGAGTGGGCAAGTACTCAGGCTCTGGAGGCTGCACAACCTTCTGTGGGGTGACAGTRGGTCACCTGAACCAAGAGTCAGTTCTCACTTTCCCCTCTTGGTCCCCAGTGGTCTGCACACTTCTTATCTGCCCTTTAGCAATGCTATAGATGACCTTCAAGTGTTGCACTGCATACATTTGAGGTCTCCAACARCTAACCCTTACAGCAATCTTGTCTGGTATCTAAAAATATGCAAAAAGCCAATGTTTTGGAAAAATAAAAAATCAAAGCCCAAAGCCAACAAAAAATGCACCATGCCAAACTCCYGCAGTGCACCAGTTAGAAGCGTGGGGCTCTTTTTAAGCACCGGTAGCTRAGAGAGATAAACATTTAAACTTTTCATTCAAGCAAATCTCTCAGGAAAACTCCTTATCCTTAAAAATACTCTCCTTGATGAAAAATCCTTCATTTCTTCAGAAATCATACTTTATTCCTAAACTAAAGTGGCTTGGCTCTGGCTGCCARAATCACTGAGCCTTCATCTGCTGCAACAGGAATGTCCATAGTCACTATCATGCAGCTCATGTCACAGTTCATGCCATTAAGACAAAGGGTAAAAAGCACACATCAGGTACAAATCTGATATGGTCACTAGAACTGGAAGTTTAACTTCTGATTACCTACTTGTCTTAGTGGATGAGTATATAGTTTCTATTAAAATTAATGGGGATGCAGTTTAAACATAATAATTTTAAACTTTTTTAGGTTTTAATYCTGCAAGTAGCAAAGAATCAGATTTTAAATAAGTTTCAGAACATTCCAGAGGCAAAACAGTTCTTCTCCATGATGCGGTTTAATTTTAAAATGGCACCATTTGGATTGCAAAGGTTTAAGGAACTAAACTAATCGATATTTCACGTGAAGCAGGAAAACGTTAACTTTGCAGATCAAAAGGAAAAAAWCTGAAATGGGGAAATCATGCCTGACACAAGTAAATTGGAGAGCCAGTGTCTCCAGCAAAGCCTCAGCAAACAACACAACACAACACTTTGAGACTTGGGGGATACAAAAGGCTTTTGGGGAATACTGCAAAAGAAATGAAAATAAGAGAGTGGCAGGAGCATTGTTGACTTCTCTGACTCAGTCATGATGATGCCTGAGCAGCCTGAACAGCGCTAAGCTTTGTTTGCACAACCAAGTACACACCGCACATCCTACCCATGGTTTGATAAGCAGGCTTCCCTGGAAGAACCAAATCTCAGCTGAGGCAAGYGCCAGGAGGGACTCCTCTAGCTTTAGAGCATGCAAAATTTGAGTCCTAAACTTGTCACTCTTGATTTATCACAAGGGCAGAAAGAGGTATCTCCAAAGGAAGACCATTCACATGTATCCCAAAATTAGGTAAAATTCACTTGAAGTTTAAAATTCACTTGCCCATTTCCTACAGCTGAAGGCAGCAGGAGGTTTGGACAACTACTCCCAACTTGGACACAGGTGTTGGTGGACTGGAGTTCAYACAGAAGAATGCTYCCTGCCCTGTCCACACACCATTYCCCTAAGCCATGCAAATGGTTATGGGATGGAGRGATKCAMTCTGAARTTTTGGTTCAGCACTTGTTAAATMAGWTWCTGAAACTTTAACCCAGGCTGCATRACTTGTWATTGGGAATRGCCCATCTGGAGAGARTGTCTSTTCCTRAAKCAGAACAAAGACTTCCCCATGTCTGTCCTGCCTWCAGGGAATAAAAAGATAGAGCAGTCCTGGTCCAGGAGCTGGTGGGGACCACCTGAATTTCACAAAACATCACTAAAATCTTTGGACCATTTCAAGGTTCTCACAAATCTTCCCAGTGCTACACCATGACCCTACCCAACAACTTATTATAGGAGAGTGCCATGTGCCGGTCTGGAGAGGTCACAATCCATCAAAGCTGGATTGCTCCTTCAAGCCACTAGTGCTTATGTGCCTGGTGGAGCTCTCCTGCATTCCCACACGGGCATAGCAGCTTCTGTTGGGTTTTTACTGGCTGTCCCTGAACTGTAGCTACAAGCAAGAGGAGACTTTGCAATTAATCCTGGCYAATGTATGATGTATACTTGTCCTCATTTTGCACTGTCCTCTCTGTTACAGTGCACATGTGCSCATACCACATCTGCCAAAACCTTTTCTGCTGTTACCCTCCCTGGTCAGGAAGCACCAGACACACCACCAAAAAGGTAACCTGAAGGTCATATTTTGTAATGYCCTCTGCAACCTTGCTCTGCCCTGAGGATGCCACCACCCTGCTGCACAGCTTTGACTTTGGCTGCTGAGGAAGTCACTAAACTGAGGGAMAGTCAGTGGAGTAAAACCTTGGCGATAAGAAAAGTGAAGGCAGAGATAGGGTTGCTGAGACACATGTCATTAACAGTTCAAAGATTCAAGAGCAGAGGATGATGATAACTCTGGTCCCTGGAGCCCATCCTTATTGTGGCAATCTCCTCCCTGCCAATGTCTGCTCAGTCAGCAAAGGCTCTTGAGACATTTTATCAGGGTGATGAGCAAACTAATGCTTAGCTAGAATTTAATAAGTTACCAGGCTGCTTTGGCACATGTTGGCCAGTGAGTCATTGTTGTATACATTCAATGTAYGTTTACAGGGTGATTTATATTTTGGGCACTGTTAACATTACCAGAAAAATGTACCCCAAAGAGAGTCAGTAGAGCAACTTTTTATAAGGAARAACAATACTTACCTTCTTGCCATCAGTTTTTGCACCTGTGGAGGGAAAAAACACAAAATACAAGTTAATGGGAACYAACAAGTAATACTTCCTTAAAACTGATGCAATATTCAACAAGGTTCAACTCTAAATGTATAATGAAATATAAACAGGGTAATGGTCAGGGTGAGTAAATTTTCAGTTTATCATAGAGATATTTTGCATAGTTATTAGGCAAAACATCCCTTAACTTTTGCTTTTTCAGGGTCTACATAAACTCATACATTCCCAGGAGAAGCTCAAATATACTGAGGAGTCAAAGCATCCCATGGCTGCTCACCACACACCATCAAATGTGGTGGTAAACCAGCCACCCACAGATGACAAACCCTGTTACAATCTCAGGGATGTTCCCCTAAAGGCAAGAGAAGAATAAGGAATAGACTCAAAATGCCCTGYCAGAAATGGAGGTCAGGTCCTGAAAAGGGACTTACAGAGGACCGAATATACAGCCCAACTGAGTGATCCACATCAGCAGGCATTCCCATAATTTGAATATTAACCYGGGAAGACCTGGAAGCACAAGGGGTTCCACTGAGGATAGCAAGAGCAGACAGCTGCTTGCAGCCCCGAAGTCACTTCCAGCTGCTCTTGGCAGACCCTCCACTCCTGGCAGCATTCAAAGCAAAGCCCTGCAAGGCTTGCTCAGCTCAGGGAACAGGCTTGAGGGCTGAGCTTTYACTGTGTCAGATAAAGGCCCCGTGCCCACATAGTGGATGTCAACATTTTCTATAAAACCACATGAGCAAGCTCATTATCATTAAGATAAGACCAAGTACAAGATGTGAACTTTGAAATCCCTGCTTGTAAATCAAGTGTGCCCATAATAGATCTCCATAAGAAAAGTATGTTTATTAAAATCATTATTTAGTCCATAGTTCACAGCAGATGAAAACAGCTGACAGCAACACTACAGTGTTTGACATAATGCTRACTAAAGTAACTTTCAGAAATCACTACAACAAATTTTTCCAATTCTTTTCTTCACTGCTGTGGACAAGTGCCTTCACAACAGAGACAGTGGTATTATGCAGGTGATTCAAGAATATCTTTTCCTAGAGAGCAGGCAACATTCTGAAAGTGCTAACACAGCCAGTTCAGGACACATGCARGTACATGAGTTATTAAAGTTTTTGGCAATGTSCTTYCCACARCCCACATGAGTAAWCCACACTGAAGGATACCCAGGTGTTAGCCATAGCCTATTATCATAAAACTTTCTTGGTTATTTCCACTTGTTGGCTTTTCCAGCATGCATGCGTCATACTGTCAGTTTTTCATAACTTGTACAGAGAAGATCAGTTTGGGCAGCTCACTCCTGTCTGTTAGCTGAGCCTTGGGCAAAAAATATCTAGGATCTTGTTGYTGGTTGGGTTTGGGTTTTTTCTGCTTTTCTGATGGCAAATGTATCATCTCTGCAAGMAACCTTACACAGAGGACATCAGAGAGGCAATATTTTCTGACAAGATCATCTGACTTCTGTGTTTAATAATAGTGTGCACACTATTATTTCTCAAACATTTTGACTTTACCCCTCTATTCTCCTTCTACAGAGAGGATCAGGGAAACTCCAGGGTGTCTGTGTTGAAAGGTTGGCTTTAATGCTATCTGGAGTTTCCCTGATCCTCTCTGTAGAAGGAGAGGCAGCTTCAGGGTTAAACTTACAAGCACAGAGTACCCAACATTTTGAGGGCTAAATCTGAGGTTTACTCATGGCATGTTGGAGCAGTCCCTCTTTGGGGCAACCTTCAGCCCCTCTTATTCTTTCCCCTTAAAAAATCAACTGCCTAACTGCTCATTTTCACCATAAAATACTGAAAAGCTCCACATTTTTCAGTGTAAAGCTCTAAACAGTTGTGCACTCTATATTCCCTTAAGATATTTAATTTTTTTAAAATACATGTAAAATCAAAAGCCACTCAGTCCTTGCCTTCAGCACCACATCTAAATAATTACCAGTGGGCCATTCTTTCCTTCCCAATCTTGCAGGCCAGGTGGGGGAGGCTCACAGCTCCAACCCCTCYGCACAGTGCAATTCCCTCCCTGCARTCACAGAGGMAGYGGGATGCTGCAGCTCTTGCAGCTCACAGTCCATGTCACGAGATGGGATCACACTGCCTTGCTCCAAGCAGCCATCACAACAACCATGCCGCATGAAGCACCTCTTGTCTGTGGCCACAATGAGTCTGTATACACCCATACTGTCACCTGGGATGTTTCTGCCTCCAGAGCGAGCCTGCTGTCCTGACACCTGACCTGGGGCACAGACAAGCCTGTTGCCTCTGCTCTCTGGAGCAGCCCTACAGCACCTTCAAAGGGATGCTGCTAGCATCAGGACATCCCCCTCCAGGAGTCCCTGCTTCACATCTTGCTATTCCAGAAAAACACCTGCACAGAAACTATCTAAGAAAATCTACAATGCAGCCAGCCTGATATAAAATGAGCAGACACAGCTGCATCCCATKTCTTTCTCTTCACAGAGCTATCACCATTTTCCTGGTTGTCTGCCCAAGCCAGCAAGACCACAGTTCACCCCTGGGCAGCACCACTGACAAGTTCTRCCTGCTCATTACTACTGTTATTGGTCCCCAGAACATAGATTTTCTTACTGAAGATGCAATGGCACTTCCTTGGATTGGTTTTTTTGGCGGGGGTGGAGGGTGGGCATTTCAGGATCCTTCCCTGCCTGAGTGAGACAAGGTTTCTCCAGCCCAGGAACTGCTTGCTAAGAGATGCCAATGTGCTCAGACACTGCAGGACTGAAGGTCCAACAAGGGGCAGTGGAGAAATATGTCGCCAAAAAAAGCTTTTTTTATACCTCCACTACTCGGTGCTCCAGTTTAGACAGAAAAAAAAAAATTCTTCAGGATTAATTAGCTAAATGGGTCCTGCCCTTATCTGAATCTTCAAGCTGTGTATCTGTATGTTTAAAAGCCACTAGGTCAACAGCCACTGTCTCAATGAAACAGCACTGTTTAACATCTGCAAGAARCACCACATTAAACTTGTGCCCAAATCTTAAGCTCCTCTTTTAAGCCCTAAAAGTGTAGTGTAGGATAAACCCGACCGGCCAGGGGGTCAGCTCAGCGAGCTTACAGAGACCGAGGCACCACAGCTCGACTCTCACTCGGGTTTCAAGGCAGGGTCACACAAACCAGGATACAGCCTTGCCAGAGGGAGAGCTGCCCCGGAGGAAGAGGGAGAGCAGAGAGCAGTGCCCGGGGGCGTCCTCAGWCCCACACGGAGCAGCAGAGCCAGCCCCGAGCGGCCGGGACCCCTTGGGCACGCTGTCAGCTCACAGCCCGGCACCATCAGCCGGCTCGGAGGGAAACTCCTTGAGTATCCCTCGGTGCTCATCCCGGGGCTGTGTCCCTCCCGCGGGCCGGGACCCGCCATCCCCACACCGGGCTGCCCCATCCCGCACGCCACACTTACCCATGTCGCCGGCGCGGTCCCGCCGGAGCGCTCGGGGCTGAAAGACAGGAGGAAAGGAGGGAAAGACAGGAGGAAGGTGCCGGGGGCGGCCGGGCTTTAAGGGCGGCGGCGGGGCCCCGCCTGGSCCGGGGTGGCGCCGCGCAGGTGTCGGGGCGGGGAGCGGGGAGCCCGCCCGGCCTCACCTGCCCTTGACCGCCGCCATCGGCCCGGGCTGAGGGACAGCGGGGCACCGGGCAGCCCCAGCGCTCCTCCCTGCCGCCCGCTCTCCTTTCGCCGGCTAGACGAGGGCTGTCACCTGCTGCTCGGCGCTTTCTTCGTTCTCTGGCCGCCCAGAAGCGCCGAGAGGGAGCCATCAGCTGAAGCGAGCCTGTGCAGTGCTAACGCCGCACGCTGTCCCTCTGATGTCAACGGTGTGATGGAAAACTTAGAAAGCAAGTAAGCGGAATACATGCTGTGTGGACGGCGGCTTTCTGCCTCATTCCYTCCTTTGAAGCTAAGGAAACAGAATTCCTCGACTGCAGCTGTCACCGGTTTCTAATGATCTCTGACTGTGGCTCCCATGAACTGATGCTTCTGAGAAGTTGTCCAGAGAAGATGTGGATGCATCCTTGGAAGTCTTCGATGCCAAGCTGGATGGGACTTGGAGCAATCTGGTCTAGAGGAAGGTGCCCCTGCCCATAGCAGGGGGGTGGAACTAGAAGAACTTTAAGGTCCCTTCCAACCCAAACCATTCAGTAAGTCTATATTTCTATGATCCAGTTTGCTCATTGCTTGGTCAGCTCACAGCAGACGTGTGTCCTGTGTGCCATTTGTGCCACCAAGCCACAGGGAAAGCCGGGAAATGCACATCAATAAACATGATGTACGTTCCATGCATGCATCTTACTGAGCCWTGCACGTGAAATAAGTGGATGAGAAGTTCAGCATGAGAAGAACAGCCAGRGTGTGAGGCTGACAAGAGTAGCTTAGGGAAACTACATATTATTAAGATTTGGATGAACTCAGAATGCAGAAACAGTAAAATATTAGCAGACATTGCCAAAAAAAGAATTTTCTGAAAGAAGAATGAGCCCCTTCTTTGAGGCTTGAAGACACAGTGTTACACTCTAGTTTATGCAACCAATCCAATCGCATTTTCTCCAGCGTGCACTTAATAATTACCTGCCGCTGAACAGGTTCATTTCATCTTGGATACAAACCAAACAAGCGTTGCAATGCATTGCAATTAGGAATATCTACAGTCAGCACTTCAGGTGCTAAGGAAGGCTGCACTGATTCGTGATACAGGGCTATAGCTGAACCTGGTTTTCTTAAATTGTGTCTATATGGGGCTAATCTGCTCAAAGAAGCTCTAACCTCTTATCAACTACCTGCACTCCTGACTGTTAAAATTTATGAATAAATTCTTAGGATAAAACATGAGTAGATGGTTGTAAGTATATTTATAGCAAGTTCTCCTGTAAGAAAYATAAATCTTGCTGTATAAGCTCCACTGACACAGCTGATGCTACTCATATATCACTTTTCAGTGGGATATATATGTGGCCACATAGCACATGCAGTGTTGCATTTCTCTATTATGGTTACTCCAGCAAAACAAGTGACCTGCAACGCAGTAAAGAATGTTGAAACCTCCAATGGTTCATTCATCTACAGAAATAATCAAGATATTAACACCATTTTTGTTAAAGTAGGAAATTAAAGATGTCATTTCTTTCCTGAACAATAGAAAACTTTCCATTGCATGGACAGTGGTGGTAAAACAGTAATACCCAGGCACATCTTGTATAGCCCTATGCATCTAGTGAAAACAAAGAGTAGAGCTTTGATGTTTCTTCCTAGAAAGCAGTATACAAGAGGGATGCAGAAATTAAGAAAAAACACCTGTTTTCTCAAAAATTTGGGATAAATGAGCTAGTTTGATTACCCTGGCTTTCACTCATGTTATCTTTCAATACTTAAGGTCTCTATTAATTCACAAAGAATTCATCTTGATGAGTACACATTTTAATTTGCCCCACAGAGAGAGATAAAAGTACACACAATTGCTTCACAGTTATTTCTGGGGAGGCTTTTGCTTTCCTTTAGTAAGCTGATGCCATGGGGATGATCTCTGTGGGGCTATTTTATAGTTGCACTCATTGGAGGGACAGAACTTGTTCTCAGAGGATTTAAGTTTCCCAGTGAGGCTCGCTGTCCAGGAGAAYTCAGAGCACTGCAGGGTGGATAAATACTCAGTATTTACAAAAATGCAATTCTGCTTTCTTCGACCAAATGCTGAACCCACAGAAGTGTATTTTCAAGGTGTAATAGAAAAGTCAGGCAACAGGACATTGAATAATTAAGTATATTTACCTGTGAGGGAAACTGTCAGAGGCCTTGCTGAAGTYGAGGTAGACAAAATCCACAGCTSTCCCCTCACGTGCCCAGGCAGCCATGCCATCCAAGGCAACCAGGCTGATCAAACAAAATTTCCCCTCCGTGAATCCATTTTCATCATTCTCAATAAGTTTCTTTCCCTCCACATGMAAAGAGATGACAACCAGGGAGAGCCATTCCATCACCGTTTCAGTGGCTGAGGTGAAGCTGTGACTGGCTTGGAGTTTTCTGGGCCCTCCTCCTTGCCCATTTTCAAGACTGAAGTGTCMTTGACCTTCTTCCAGCCCTCAGGCTCCTCTCCTGTTCTCCATGACCTTTCAAAGATGAATGAGAGTGGCTCAGCAATAACATCTGCCAGCTCCCTCAGCACTCGTGGGTGCATCCCATTGAGGTTCATGGATTTGTGGCTGTCAAGTTTTCCTGCTTGATCTCTAACCCAACTCTATGACCMAGAGAAAGTCTTCCTGTCTCCAGATTTTCTTTCCTGGCTTCAGGGTCTGGGATTCCTGAGGGCTGGCTTTAGCAGTAGGAACTTAAAGAAGGCATTTAGTAACTGCACCTTCTCTGTATCCTTTGTCGTCAGGGCACCTGCCTCATTCAGCAGCAGGTCCCTGTTTTCCTCAGTGTCCTTTTCCTGCTGGTGGACTTGAAGAAGAAGCAGCCCTTCTCGACCTTGACCCTTCTTGTCTCATCGCTTTGTACTCTGACAATGTTCTCACATTCCTCCCATGTGACCTATGCCTTTCCTCACATTTMATAAACTTCCTTCTTCTGTTTGAATATTGCCAGAAGCTCCTTGCTCATCCATGCAGTTCTCCTGTCCCCTTTCCTTGATTTCTTCCTCAAAAGGATGCACCAGTCTTGAGCTTAGAAGAAGTGAYATGTGTATATTAACACTTGGACCCTCCTACCTTCTAGGCCCCCAGCCCTTGGGATTCCTCCACACAGGTCCTTGAAGAGGCCAAAATTAGCTCTCCTGAATTCCAGGGAATCCTACTTACTGTCCTGCTTCTTCCACACAGAATCCTGAACTCCACCATCTCATGGTTACCATAATCAAGACTGCCCCCAGCCTTCACATCCCCAACAAGTCCTTCTTTCTTAGTTAATTCCAGCTCCAGCAGCACACCTCTCCTTGCTGGCTCTCCCACCACCTGTGTCAAAAATCTACCATCAGCGCTCTGCAGGAGCCTCCCAGGTTGCATGTTCCCAGCTGCCATGATCTTTCCACAGGGGGGATCATTCCACATCACTCAGTTGAATGTCGTAGCTTAGTGAGGTTGTTCCCTCACTTGGGGTAGGTAGGAAGAACACAATCATTTCAGAGGAGCTGGTGAGGTGAATCCATAATATGGAATAGTTGATAACAACTATTCAATATTTAAGGACTAACAACCTGAATTAAGATTGAAGTATTTTAAAGAAAATTAAGACAAATTACAATGTGTTCAGATTATATGTTATTTATAGATATTAATAAATGTTTTTGACTCATTTTTTTTAGATGGAAAGAATTGCAATAACCATAAAGAATTTGCAAGGGTGTGCAGCACATCGTGGGATAGGTATTACTGGGTCAGATCCTGAAAACTGATTGAGGTTGTGCATTGATTCATTCTAATGGATCTTGCTCTAAAACCACACTCCATTTGGCTTTCATGATGGTAAACGTGACTGACACTAGTCACTTTCCAGTAACTACTCCTCCCAAGATAATGCATCCTTCCAAGAAAAGTTTATTCCTACTTTCCAGATAGGGAATCTCAGGGAAAAAAGTGATCAGTTTGCTGAGACTTTTCTGAGGTACTGTGTCATGTTTTGTTACTCAAGGACACGGTTTGCTAGCAGAGCAAATAGTAGGTGGGATGCTCTGGAGGAGATGGGGACTGCTGGGAAGGAGGGCACCAGAGGTCTCTGAGAAGGGGTCTGCAGCAGTTCAGCTGCATTGAACCGGCAGCAGGATAGCTATTGGGCGCTGTGCACCTCTGTCAGTGACATAGGCTGGTGTTTGAGATGCCCAYTCAATTTACATGTGAGGATCAACTCTGGCCCCAAAACACACAGACTTGCTTCTTCAGGAGTTTGCTAAACCAGACCAGAGACATGCAGAGAAATAGGTTGCTACCAACCCAGCCTGCCAGCCCAGCTGAGCAGCATTTCACAAGTAATCCTCTCCAGAAAAAAAGGAAGAGTTCATGTTCTATGGCCCAGAAGGGACTTGGCTTCTCTGGCATGTCTTTATGTACACAGACTGAACACGTGGGTGGAGGGTGAAGCAGGGGAGCGGGAACTAGAGCAGAGACTTGTACCTAAATAAAGTAAATAAGTGAACTTTATTTACCTGGAGCTGCCCCAAATTGATGGCAAAAGTCTTTGGCTCATTACCAGTGCCTGTGACAACATGTGAAGTTAACTAATATGGCAGATGTCGACCTAATGAGTTAATGGTAAACAATACCATTATTCACCAGTGGTGAAGTCACTCCTGCCAAGATGTGGSTTTGTTCCTTCTATTTTTGCCGAAAACATAACTCTGATTGTTTTGTTTCCCATTCATTTTCTCTGATAACATTGTTTCCGTGATAGAGCCAGACTTACCCCATGTCCRCTTCTCTTTATATTCATCTCCATCACGACAACACCTTTGCTGTTTCCTTCCACGGGTTTTCCCCTCGGGTAATCTGAAGGGGATCATTTG